TAGGAGTGAGTAAGTGTACACAGTGAACCTTACTTCTCCCTCAGCAGAACAAAGAGGGGGAAATGGCCTCACATCCAACATCTTCAATGACAGCAGAGCAGCCTGAGTCACATCAGTTACCTATCCTGGTCTCAGTTACTCCTGGAGAAATGGGGGATGCTTACAGCCACCATGCGTTAGTGACTCCCAGAAGCCAGACCTCAGCTGATGTGCAGAAAGGAGAGCAGGGAAAAGGAGAGGGTACACCTAGGGGAAGGAGGCCAGAACACATCATCCTCTCTCTCCTCCCTGGCTACCCTCTGCCATGTATTGTTGTTGTTGTTGTTGTGTGGTTCTGGGGGAGGAATCTAGGTCCCTGAGCGTGTTAGGCAAGTGCTCTACCACTGAGCTATGGCCTCAGTAAGATTTTTCTTCAGGAACACATGTTGAAATCTGAAAAAAAAATTTTTTTCTGCTGCATTTATTTAGATAACCCCTACTCTGTGATCTAGGGTTGGGAATGTGGCTCAGTGGCAGAGCACCTACGTAGCAAGGGAAAGACCTCAGTTCAAATCCTAGTACCAAACACACACACACACACACACACACACACACACACAGAGGCTAATCAAGGTTACCGAAAGTCTGTTTTGATTTGGTAGGGAGTAGAAGTTGTCCACACAAGTTTGACTAACAAAAATCTGCTTGTAGACAAAGGGAGGAATAAGGAGGTGAAGTGTAGGGGAAATCGAGGGTCAGGGAGGGCTGGGGAAGAAATGATCCCCTAGTTATGGCCCAGTCAAGCACAGGGGAGGCGGCAGGGGTGCGGGTGTACAAAACACTGCTGGACATGCTCTGGCAACTACCGTCAAATCTGAATTTTTTCCAAGACTATTGGGGGTATAGTTTTTTGTTTTTCCTGGAGGAATCTTAAAAACTGACAAATCCTGCTGTGAGTAGGTACAGAATAAAAACTTAGATTAGCCAGGCACCAGTGGCTACACTTGTCATTCTAGCTGACTCACGCCTGTAACCCTAGCTACTCAGGAGGCTGAGATCTAAGGATAACTGTTCAAAGCCAGCCCAGGTAGGAAAGCCCGTGAGATGCTTATCTCCAATTAACCACCAAGAAAATCCAGGAGTAGAGCTATGACTGAAGTGGTAGAGCACCATCCTTAAGAAAAAAATCTAGGGGCTGGGAAGGTGGCTCAGTGGTAGAGCGCTTGCCTTGCATGCCAGATTCCTCAGCACCACATAAGCAGAAAGAAAAAAGCCGGAAGTGGCACTGGGGCTCAAGTGGTAGAGTGCTAGCCTTGAGCTGAAGAGCTGAGGGACAGCACCCAGGCCCAGAGTTCAGGCAGACCCCCCCCCCAAAAAAAAAGAAAAGAAAAAAAATCTAAGGGATAGAAACCAGGTCCTGAATTCAGGCATCAGTACCTGCTCATATACACAGACACACACAAAACAAAATACCCTCTGGTCACCTGAGAATGTGAAATAGTTTCAAGAAAGACTTGGCCAGGCTGACTAGGGATTCTCCAGCCAAAATTGCCATTATAGGAGTCCAATAGAAACTCACCCTTCAGAACTCTCACATCAAAGGCTGTGCATTAATCAGGTGGTATTTTTGTTTGTTTGTTGTTTTGTTTTTGTGATAAATACCTGAGAGAAACAATTTAATGGAGGAGAGATTCAAGATTCATTTGGCTCATGATTTCTAAGGTTTTAGCTGGCTCTATTTTTTTTTATTTGGTCGTGAACTCTGGGCCTGGGTGCTGTCCCTCAGCTCTTCAGCTCAAGGCTAGCACTCTACCACTTGAGCCACAGAACCACTTCTGGTTTTCTAGTGGTTTATTGGAGAGAAGAGTTTCATGGACTTTCCTACCCGGGCTAGCTTTGAACCATGATCCTCTGTTCTCAACCTCCTGAATAGCTAGGATTACAGGCGTGAGCCACCAGCGCCCAGCTTAGACCTCACAACGGAAGAGTCCATTTAGCTGTGAAGTCATCAATGGTTTAATCTTTGATGAAGTTAGCGTCCTCCTGAGCCAATCACCTTTCAAAAGCATCACCAGCTGGGGATGGAACTTGTGGGGATGACTTCACACCCAAACCAGTGAAGGTACAGAAGGCTGGGAGCAGTCGCAGGCAGCATGATCCCCGTGAGAAGAAGGTAGTGGATCTCAGGGCCAGGTGGGCTGTCATCAATTACACTTCCCACAGAGGTTAGAGCAGGCTTTGTCATGACAGCCACAGGTCTTGTGGCCTTGGAGGGAGCCGTTCCATTTTCTCTGTAGGTCAGAGTATGTCAGGTCCTGTCACCTCAGGGCCCCCCACACACCATGAGGGGGTAGGGGAAGCCAAGAGAATCCAGAAGGACAGAGAGAAAGAGGAATGGCCATGGAAAGATGGCAGAAACGAGGTCAGGCCAAGGCTTCGTTCTCAAGCTAGCCCTTCCATCTCAGTCACTGTTTTGGGTCCAAGTTGACCCCTTTCTGTTGAAAGATTAGTCAGGGATGGGACCCTCCAGATGATGTGCATGCATGTGAAACCATAAACATCTCAATCTGAGGCAAAAGAAACTCCTGGCTGGGCTTTAGGGACTCAGATCTAGGACTTGTATGAGATCGCAGGCAAATTAGACACCACCTCTGGGCCTCAGCTTTCTTGGCTTTGAATGGGAATGTTACCACTTGCTCCACCTACTACTTCATGCAGATTTGAGGACGTGTTGGTTGAAACAGAGGACTGTAGAGTTACTATGCCCAGATTGACTCATGAGAGCCCCCCTCCTTCTCCAAAGGAAGGGGTGTGTTGTTACCAGGGTAGCTGGTAGTAGACCCTGCTGTGGTGTCCAGTTCTGTGGATGATGGGATAGAGCCATGAATGGGCTCTTTTGCCTCTACCACCAGGCGAAGTAATTGTCCCTGATTCTTACTCCCCAGTGTCTTCCAAGATGAATTTTCTAACCTGCTTCTCAGAGGCAAGAATTCTCTGCATACAATGGGGTAGGGGGCGTTGAAAGGAGTGTTCCTTAAACAATGAAGGCATAGAGGCCCCAGTGAAGATATCACATGCATGTAGAGTGCACATGTGTATGCATGTACATGCACATGTGATGTTGTGTTATTCCTCAGGCTGAGGTCTCAGTGCCCTCAAGGGGTCTAACAAGTCTACCAAGAAGCAGGAGTGGAAATCGTGTAAGCAAGCCCTAGAGGATTCTCCCCTTCTTCCCCCCTCCAGTTTCCTTAACAGATTTCTGGACTCAGTCCTGCTGGCTTCCTGCATACAGTAGGGACCCACCATGCTTGTTTGTGGTTTTACTTTCCTTTTACTCTGCACAGGGTGTTCTGGTGGTGATGATGACTAACATATTCTCTATTTGGTCTGCTCCAATGACCTTGCATCACAGCAGCAACCCAGAAAAGGCAGCTTACCAGGAAAGTGAAACTCACCTGCTGCATGCTTTTCTAATAGCATGTCTCCAAGGAAAGAGCCTGGCTGCAGTGGGGGCAGTTTAATTTCCTGTGGTGAGGTCAGACAGCATGAGGTCTACCTCATCCTGCCACCCTCTACCTACTATTTTGTGACTGTGACCAAATACCTAAGAAAAATGGCTTAGAGGGAGGAACATGTATTGTGGTTCAAGGTTTCAGAGGGTTCTGCCCATGGTTACTAGCTCTGTGTTTTCTGAGGCAGACTGACCATCATGGAGGCTGGAATGTGCAGTAGAGGAGCTTCTTCTATGGTGAACAGGAAGTAGAGAGCAAGGAAGGGTCTGGGGATCAGGAACAAACGTACAGTTTCTCCAACTAGGCCCCACCTCCTAAAGCTCCCCAAACCTCCCAAAATAGCACCACACACCACCTGTGGGATTTATGGTCCTCCACAGTGTCCTTAGACTCTGCTTCCTGTCTGCCATGAGGTGAAAAGCTTCTTCCATCACAAACTCCTGCTGCCAGTATCCTCTGCCTCACCATGGGCCAAGGACCATGCATGCGCTTAAATCTCTGAGAGCATGAAATAAAACAAATCGTGTGTGTGTGTGTGTGTGTGTGTGTGTGTGTGTGTGTGTGTGTGTATCTGTCTAAGTGTGTGTATGTATCTGCCTATGTCTGTGTCTGTGAGTGCTTGCCAGTACTTGGGCTTAAACTCAGGGTCTTATGCTCTCACTTAGCTTTTTCCACTCAAGCCTGGAGCTCTACCACTTGAGGCTCACCCCAATTCCAACATTTTGTTGGTTAATCAGAGATAAGGGTTTCTCAGATATATCTGCCCAAGCTGGCTTTGAACCTGGATCCTGACTCCTGAGTAGCTAGGATTATAGGTGTAAGCCATTGGAATCTTGTTGTTTTTCCTCATTTTAAGTTATTTCTGGCAAATAGTTTATTACAGCAACCAAAAAAGTTAAAGGATTAAAAAACAGTTCAAATGCCAGGTGCCAGTGGCTCATGATTGTAATGTTAGCAATTTAGGAGGCTGAGGTATGAGGATCACGGTTAGAGATCAACCCAAGAAGGAAAGTCCATGAGATGCTTATCTCGTTAATCATCTCACACACACACACATACACACACACACACACACACACACACGCACACACACACACACACACACACACATACACACACACACACATACACACACACAAAACCAAGCCGGGCATCAATAACTCACACCTGTAATCCTAACTACTCAGGAGGCTGAGATCTGTGGCTCACAGTTCAGCCAGCCTGGTCAGGAAAGTCCGAGAGACTCTTATCTCCAATAAACCACCAGAAAACTAGAAGTGGCACTGTGGCTTAAGTAGTGGAGCACTCGCCTTGAGTTGAAGAGCTGAGGGATAAGGCCCAGGCCCAAAGTTCAAGCCCCATGACTGACAAAAACAAACAAAAAAACAGAAGTGGAGCTGGGGCTCAAGTGGTAACGTGCTAGTCTTGGGCTTAAAAGCTCAGGGACAGTGTCTAGGCCCTGGGTTTAAGCCCTAGGACCAGCACCAAACAAAATAAAACGTCAAAACCTTCATTTAAAAAAATTTTATTACTATAAATTGTACAACTTGGAATTCATTGTGATATTTATAACACACATACAATTTACTTTGATCAAATTCACCCTGAATTGTGGTGTTTTGAGGTCCTTAGTGAAAGCCAGGTCCCTGATACCCAGGCCCTTAACACTCGGCCTAGTGTTATTTGGGACCTTTTCTGGGAGATGCCATACTTTGAATATTTTAAGGAAAGCATATGATTCTTACAGATTGCCAGCAAGAAAATTATCTTATTTCTACTTTCCAGATAAAGAAACAGGCTCACGGAAGTCATGTCACATGCCCCCCAGGTAAGGTCCCTTGTGGTTGGCAGAAAGGAATTTCTGCTGCAGGAAGTTAGCTGGTGGTGTCCAGCCTGACATCCTGACCCCCAAGCTGGTGACAGGGTGGGCAGAGGGCCATTTGTGGAGAAACCCACCATTATAATTTTTATCTCAATGCATATCAATCCTTTTCTTTAACTCCCCCCAAGAAATGTCTCTAGGGGTAGGGGAGGACAACAAATCAGTAGGCAGAGCCTCCAGGAAGTCACCAAAACCCAGGGTGGCAAGGGCAAAGTCTGGCTGGAACCTAAGGGCTGGAAACATTGAACCATCTGTGCAGGCTTAGTTGAATAGAGCCCCTGAGCCTGAGGGCCTGGAACCCCATCAAGCCTCTCTGCATGTTCAGGGGTGTTCTAACATTCTACTTCCCACTCAGCCCAGAAATCATGACAAAAGAACTATACAAGACCATCTTGACTCTGCTATCTCAGAGATTGGCAAGGAAGGGACAATGACACCAATGCAGCTGTGTCCAATGCCCGACGTCCCTGGGACCTCACAGCTCTGCCAAGTCACCAAGATCACTTCCTGGGATCCAGCCACCTTCGTTATCTCCCTGCTTCTGGTTTCCACACCTGGGGGTGATGGGCACCCGTGACTCACACCTGTAATCCTAGCTACTCAGGAGGCTGAGATCTGAGGATGGCAATGTGAAGCCAGCTCAAGCAAAAAAGTCTGTGCAACTCTTCCCTCCGATTCACTACCCAAAAAAAAACTGGACATGGAAGTGTGGCTCAAGTAGAGTACCAGTCTCAAGTGAAAAAGCTAAGGGAGAGCGCTCTGGCCTATGGCCCAAGCTTCCGAATCAGAACAAAAACCAAAAAGAAGAAGATACATTTTTTAAAAAGCCACCTAGGGGCTACAGGGCTTCCAGCAGACATGGAGAGACCCTTGTATTTCCTCAGCTGTACGATGAGAAATCTGAACACAGCACCCCACAGGGGTACATTCCAACATAGGCAGAAAGAGAAGGTTCTTCTGCTCTACCATACTCGTCCCGGCCTGAGCCTGAGGGAAAGTCCAGAAGCAGCCAGACCCTGGCTGCCCTCTCCCTGCTATTGCTGCTGATCGGTGCCGCGAAGGAGGGAAGAGGTGCACCTCCCACGGTCAGGCTCAGAGCAAGGCCCCATCTGCCACTCACATGGGAAGCCTTCTCCGCTTATGAGCCTTCCCCAGTCCTCACCAGGGCCACCTCCTCAATCTGCCACCGACACACAGGGCATTTGGCCGTGTCCCTGAAGACTCGCTGGGCACAGGAGCTGCAGAAGTGTGAGTGGCCGCAGGGAACAAGACGGGTATTGGCAGCATTGTGGAAGCAGATGACACACTCCTCTCCTGGTGTGGCTGTGAAAGGAGACACCACAGAAGTCAGGGGCACAAAGGGCACGAGGTGCTCTCTACTCATTATCGGACCAGCCTGGAGAAGTGCACAAGTTCTGAAGAGCAGAACCTCATGAGGAAACATTCAGCAAGTAATCAAGAAAAAAACAAAAGTGTGAAGAGGGGCTGGAAAGGTGGCTCAGTGGTAGAGCGCATGCCTTGCATGCCAGAGGCCCTGGGATCGATTCCTCAGCACCATATAAGCAAAAAGAAAAAAGCCGGAAGTGGCACTGTGGCTCAAGTGGTAGAGCGCTAGCCTTGAGCTGAAGAGCTGAGGGACAGCGCCCAGGCCCAGAGTTCAGGCCCCATGACCGGACCCCCCCCCCCCTCAAAAAAAAAAAGTGTGAAGAGATAGGCACCAGAGGCTCATGCCTGTAATCTCAGCTACTCAGGAGGCTGAGATCTGAGCATGGAGGTTCTGTGTCAACATGGCAGAAAAGTCCATAAGACTTTTACCTGCAATTAATTACCAAAAGGCTGGAAAAGGAGCTGTGGCTCAAGTGGTAGAGCACTAGCTTCGAGCAAAAGAGCTCAGACACAGTGTCCATGCCCTGAGTTCAAGCCCCAGGACTTGTGCGTGCATGCACACACGCGTGTGCACACACACACACACAGAGGAAGAAAACTGTATACACAACAGTCTCTGCTTATTTGAACTTTTGTTTTTCACAGTTTCAGCTACTCGAAGTCTGGAAATATTAAATGGAAAATTCCAGAAAAACGTCATGAGTTTTATTTTTTTATTATTTTTTATTTTTATTTTTTTGGGTCTGGTCATGGGGCCTGAACTCTGGGCTTGGGCGCTGTCCCTCAGCTCTTCAGCTCAAGGCTAGTGCTCTACCAGTTGAGCCACAGCGCCACTTCCGTTTTTTTTCTTTTTGCTTATGTGGTGCTGGGGAATCGAAGCCAGGGCCTCATGCATGCAAGGCAAGCACTTTACCACTGAGCCACCTCCCCAGCCCCATCATGAGTTTTAAATAGTTGTTATAGCATTGCAACATTGTCCTATTTTATTATTAGCTGTGGTCAGTCTCTTACTATGTCTAACTTATAAATTTAACTTCATCTTAAGTATGTGTGTCTAGAGAAAACATAGCATCTAGAACTATTCAGGCTTTCGGGCATCCATAGAACATCTTGAAATGTATACACCAAGGATAAAGGGTTTTATGTGTGCATATTTGTATATGTACAAGTGGTTATACACACGTAACAAAACTCTAACTTAGAGAAAAGGAAAACAAAGTTCAGACATTTCCCCATACACACAAATGTGTACGCACAGAACTAAAAAACCTAGGACATGGTGAAACCCTGTGGTACAATTAATACAGACTTAAAAGGTCCTGAGTCCAAGCCCCAATACAAAAGTAAAGAAATAAAAAGAAAAACCAAGTACTGACAAGAAAGTAAAACAGACTCTGTGAAGAGGGTCAATATCAATGGGAGAGAGGAGGTGAAGGGAGAGGGTGAATATGGTCAAAGTAGCTCATTTGCATGTATGAGAATAGAACAAGGAAACTTGTTGAAATTGTGTTAGAAGGGGGAGGGGGCAAACGTTTGTGTGGAAATGTCACAACTAACCCTCCCCTTCTTTTTTTTTTTTGTCGGTCGTGGGGCTTGAACTCTGGGCCTGGGCGCTGTCCCTCAGCTCTTCAGCTCAAGGCGAGTACTCTACCACTTGAGCTACAGCGCCACTTCCGGTTTTCTGGTGGTTTATTGGAGACTCCTATGAGTCTCACGGTCTTTCTTGCCCGGGCTGGTTTTGAACCGTGATCCTCAGATCTCAGCCTCCTGAGTAGCTAGGATTACAGGCATGAGCCACCAACGCCCGGCTAACCCTCCCCTTCTTGTATAATGAATGTACACTAACAACAAATCTCAAAAATTATATCAGGAGAAAATCCACCCAAGAGATAATGGGTGATTTCAGTGTTTCTTCTTCATTTCATAATCTTGTTTTTATTTATTTATTTGTAGGTCATGAGTCTTGCACTCTGGGCCTGGGCGCTGTCCCTGAGCTCTTTAGCTCAAGGCTAGAGCTCTATCACTTGAGCCACAGCGCCACTTCCAGTTTTCTAGTGGTTTATTGGAGACAAGAATCTCATGGACTTTCCTGCTGGGGCTGGCTTTGAACTACAACCCTCAGATCTCAGCCTCCTGAGCAGCTAGGATTTTAGTCTTATTTTTATTTGGCAGAACCTCTTTGGGGCTTGCACTCTGAGCACTGTCCCTGAGCTCTTCAGCTTAAGGCTAGTGCTCTACTACTTTTAGCCACAGGGCCACTTCTGGTTTTCTGGTGGTTAATTGGAGATAAGAATCTCATGGACTTTCCTGCCCAGGCTGGCTTTGATCCACAATCCTCAGATTACAGGCATGAGCCAACAATTTTTTTTTTTTGGTGGGTCGTGGGGCTTGAACTCTGGGCCTGAGCGCTGTCCCTCAGCTCTTCAGCTCAAGGCTAGCACTCTACCTCTCTTGAGCCACAGCGCCATTTCTGGTTTTCTGAGTGGTCTATTGGAGATAAGAGTTTCACAGACTTTCCTGCGCGAGCTGGTTTTGAACCTCAAACTGCAATCCTTAGATCTCAGCCTCCTGAGTAGCTAGGATTATATGTGTGAGCCACTGGTGCCCGGCCTTCACGGCAGAATCTTAGCTAATCAGGAGATGGAGATCTGAGGATGGAGGTCCAAAGCAGGAAAGACTGAGACTCTTATCTCCAATTAAGCCCCAAACAGCCAGACGTGAAGCTTTGGTAGAGTACCTAGCTTTGAGCAAAAGAAGCTTAGGGAGCGCACACGGCCCTGAGTTCAAGCCTCAGAACCACCCCCCACCCCCCAAAATACAGTCTGTTTATGCTCTTACAGAGTTCTAGAAGGCAGAACTGTTACATTGCTTTTAGGTTTCTAGAAGGTGGAGTCAAGTCTTCTGGTCCAAAGCCTGTAGGACTCCTAAGGAGGAGACCCAGAAAGATGACTTTGAACTCTGCCTTCCCCCTACTCTCTCCACTCCTGATCACTTGGGGTCCCACGGGGTGCACTCACCTTTGAGATCAGGCCCAGCATCCTCACTGGAGACCAAGGGTGTGGCTGGATCTAAGGCAGAGAGGGAGGTTCAGGGTCAAGGGCAGCCTCTCCAATCTCCCGTCCACCCTGGCACTGCAGCAAGCACCCACCCCCTTTCTTCTCTAGGTTAATTTGGGGGGCTCCCTGCGGCTGAAATGCCCTGTCCCAGCCTTTCCCCAGCTTCCCCGGGGCTGACAAGTCATGGGACCTGGATTCCTCCTCCTAAGCCTTGCTCCCCTCCCTCCTTTGCTTTACTGCCACTGTCCCTGGAAACTCGCAGCCCTGGCCAGCTCCCCAACCTGCTTATGCTTCAAAATCACCCGGGGGGGGGGGGCAGGAAAACACATGCTAGTGCCACCCTTCATGTATGGAACCAGGGCCTCCGGGGCTGGGGCTCTGGTACCCTGTGACAGTGATTTTCGAGGATACAGGAGGATGAGAGATGCACCCATCCAGCCAGCCAGGGCGCTCCTGACTCTGTGCTCCTTAGAAGTCCATTCTCCTCTGGCTAGCTAGAGGATAGTTCGTGTTTCAACACTCACAGACTATCTTACCCACCAAGGCAGGCAGTCTGGAGAACCTCTAGCTCTCACACTTGGCTTCTTTTTCTTACCATCGCTGCGCCTCACCAACTCCTACTCAGACTACAAAGCCCAACCCACACGTTTCCTCCTTGGTGAATCGTAATCAGCTTTAAAGCACATGTTGGGGTGCTTGGTCTTATCTCTGAGGGACAAGGCTGTCCTCCCAATGTCTCGTGCTTAACCATCTACAGCCTCCAGTGTCTATCTTCACCGTCAATCCTGTCCCCAAAACCGACCCGGCCTCCACCCAGCCCCCGCAGGGTTAAGGTCTTACCCAGCAGCTCGATGGCCTTGGTGGTCCCGTACACATCCATCACCGCCCAGAGCGGGGCGCCCATGAGCACGTCTTTGCGCAGCAGGAGCGGGCGGCCGGCGTTGACCTTGGCGTAGAGCCAGCCCCGGCGGTTCACCCAGAAGCAGACCACGTTCCCGGCGCGCACGCAGCCCTCCGGCAGCAGGGACGCCCAAGTCGGGCTCTGCTCCTCCAGGTCCGGGCACACGAAGGGCGGCAGGCTGGGCGCCGACAGGCTGGCGGGGTCCAGGCGCGTGAAGCCCACGCGGAGGCCGCCGCACCAGCCGCCCTCCTGGCGCAGCACGCGCAGCGCCACGCGCTCGCCGGGCCACACCGGCCGCTGGCTGAACACGATGCCGTCGTGGAACGTGGCGCCCCGGTGCGCCGTGCACCCCAGCGGGCCCAGCTGCACCTGCGCGCCCCGGGCGTCCTCGTGGAAGCGCAGCGCTTCTCCCGGCGCCTCGGCGGCTGCGGTAGCTGCGGAGGACGCGGGGCGCGTCAGCGCGGGCCCCCCCGACGCTCCCGGGGGCTCCTCAGCGGCCTCCCAGCACCCCAAGGTCGCCAGCACCCTGAGCCACCGTGGCCTCTCCTGAGGAACCATTTCTACCTCCCCCCCCCCTCCCGCCTCCCACCACCCTGACCACCCGGGCCCCCTGCAGTCCTCACCCCAGGACACCCCCACCCCTGCGGACACCTGCCCCGCAAGGCCCACCGCCTGCCCAGGTCTGATGGTCACTTCCCCAAACATTAGTTCCTCTCCCAGGACGAAGGGAAAACGAAAGGGCCGCGCCTGTCCCCGCCCAGTCTAACCTCAGTTCCGGTGCTGAGGTTATTACTAGTTATTACAACTAAAACCGAAAAAGCAGGCCAAGCTCACACCTGTACTTCTAGCTACTCAGGAGAAGGCGATCTGAAGATCATGGTTCGAAGCCAGCCCCAGCATTCAAATCAGAGACTTGTAGCTCCAATTAATGAACAAAAAGCTAGAAGTGGAGGGCTGGCTCAAGTGGGAGAGCACCAGCTTTGGACTAACAAGCTTAGGGTCAGTGCCGAGGCTCTGAGTACAAAAATAAAATAATAATCACAGCAAAAAAGAAGTCGGAGCAGCTCAGGTGCTAGGGTAAGCTCCCTAGCAAGCAAGAAGCCCTGAGCTCAAACTGCAGTACACACACACACACACACACACACACACACACACACACACACACACACACACACACACACACACACACACACACACCAGGCTTAGTTGGGTATCTGTATTTAGATGTTTATAATATGCATATATATCCTTATGGACCTAGAACTAGCTGGAAGGAGCTGGGCTTACTGTAGTCTGCTTGGCAGATGGCCCTAGGATGTCTGAGATTCCTGGCTTTTCTGATCTGCGATTTTCCCCACAGGGAGCCTGCAACTCAGGAAGGCCAGGATGATTTCCCAGTGCTAGCACAAAAATGGGTCTCAGCAGCTCCCTGGAACATAGTGATATAAGCTGGAGAAGGGGTCAAGGTCAGCCTGGATGTGACCTTGAATTGGGTCCAGCCAAGGCCTAGAGTGGACTTTTGGAACCAGGGGACTTCCCATCAGTGACCATTTGGCAACCAGAAAGGAAAGTTCCCTTCTGTGCAGCCCTTCCTTTTAGTCTTAGCCTAGAGGAAGCTGGTGGAGCTTCCTGTCCCAGAGCCTTTGCTTCCCCCTTTCAGAGTCACACTGTGCTGTGGTCTTGCTGGCTCAAATCTGATGTTGGCTGACCGCTGCTGAAAGGAGATGAACTTCATCTGAACTTGAGAGAGACCCCAGCCAAGCTCCAACCCCCAAATCTGCTCACTTCCCCAGCACACTCTCTGACCACACACACACAGAGGCACACACACACACACACACACACACACACACACACATGCACACGCACACCTGCCGCTGTCCAGCAGAGTCAGGTAGGGGACTCCATCTGCTCATGCACAGGGACATCTTTAAGGTCATCGTTAGTCCAGGCCTGACCTCCCCAGGCTGCAGATAAGTTTAAAAAGCCCTCTAGTTCCAAAGTCCACTCTTAAACTTGGTTGGACCCAACTCAGGATTCCTTTCCTGATAAATTAGGGTCCCCATGTCTCTCCCCATCAGACAGCCATGTCAGCCAGACCCAGGCTCCTCCAGGCCGTACCTCACCCAGGGAGGCCCTGAGTGAGCATACCTGGGCTCAAGCAACCCCAAGGGCCCTGACATTAAGAAACCCATCCTACTGAGCCACGCACTGGTGGCTCATGCCTGTAATCCTAGCTACTCAGGAGACCTGAGGATCATGGTTCAAAGCCAGCCTGGGCAGAAAAGTCCCTATGAGACTTTTATCTCCAATTAACTACTCAAAAACAAAAACAAAACTCAGAAGTGGTGCTGTGGCTCAAAGTGGTAGAGCCTTGAGCACAAAGGGCTCAGAGATAGTGCCGAGGCCCAGAATTCAAGACCCACAGCCAACAGCATCAACAAAAGAAACCCATTCTTGTGCCCACTGCTGAGTGGCTGGGCCATCCAAATATTGACCAAGGCAGCAGGCCGCATCTGACGCCTGGATTCTAGTCCTGCCCTGCTGCTGACCCATGCTGGTCTCTGCTTTCTGGGGCTCAGCTTCCTTATGCACAGATGGAGTGGTGACTCTGGAATCTGGGCTTCTGCCTGGGGAGCCTGAAGGTGAGGTATTCACTGGCCACCTGGGAAGGTACATCTGATATCCACTTCTCTCTCAGCTGGGTCACTGTTTGCCCCTAAGGTGTGGACTAGAGAGACCCCTGGAGGAGGCTTAGTAAGGGATCAGAGCAGTGGGCCTGTGCAAAGGTTGGACACTGGAGAGAGTGAACAGCATGGACAGCCTCTGCTATGCAACCCTGTTGCTCCCTGAGAGACCAGGAGGACCCTCTTGAGAACGGGCGAGCAGAGAGCCCTGGGACAGTAGCCATCAGGGACAGAACTGAGGATGAAATAGAGGGTGTCTCAGCCTGACCCGGTACAGACCCATCGAAAAAGTCTGTCCTTGTTGGGTCAGGGAACTAGAGACTGGTCCTCTGAGCTCCATGGGCCCAAGTAGTCAGCAGAGACAAGATGGAGTCTACCCACCCCATCTCTATGTCCTGGATAGTTGAGAACAGAAGTAACTCCTGACAGAGAAGGTAAGAAGGGGAGGTTGGTTCAGTGCCCCACCCTCCTTCTGGAGGGGAGCCAGGAGACGGGCTGTCTAGGAGGGAGATGGGGAAACTCCCTGGAAATGGCCTCTGTGGTCACATGAGTCCCTCATCAGGAAGGGAGGCCCTGGGGTCCCCAGGAGGAACAGATCTTGACCTTGATTAGAGCTTGAGTTGGCAAGAGACCATCCCTGCTCAGGAGCCCTCGCAGCAACCTGTGGGAGCTTTATTCTTTGTCACCCCAATTAATGGAAGGGAGCTGAGGGGACCCTCTGCTGCCTAGGCCCCTAGCTTCCAGGGTACCTGTATGCCCTTCTCCTAGCTCAGTGTTTGGGCTTCACTCACCATCTCAGGCATGAGCCCCCTGGTCACTGCTTGAGTGTGGCCCATGTAAGGGGTTGTCACAGCCAGGACAGTGAAAGGCTCTTTGGGGCTCAGTGTCTCCGCGCGCACTCTCCTGTCCCGTTGTGTTGGTCGTTCACCACACAAGACCTAAGTTGAGTGGGACTGAAACTACCTTCGCTGTGCTAGCCCAGTGAGGTCTTTAGGACTTAGTTTACCTCCAGGGGCTCCGTCTCCTCCTTTGCACAGGGCTCCACCTCCTTGTGTTCAGAGCTGGGCCAAAAAAATGGACACTACTTTCATTCTCCTCGGCTTCTCCCAGGACCTTGCAGAGGTCCTCTACCCTTTCACTTGGCTGCCTGGTACATCTACTCCTGGGACAGGGAGTGGCAGAGGTGGCCAAAGGCTGAAAAGGCCTGTCCCAGCCAGCTGGGTTGGCACAGGGTTCAGAGTTTTCTCCCACCCTGAGGTGCTCATTCTCATCATGGGCTCCATTTTCCAGGCCAGATCTTGAGGCTCCATGAGGCAGAGTGGCCTTCCTAAGGAGGGACTTCCTTGATCACCACACCAGCTTCTCATGCTCTTCACTGCTGCCGTGAGCAGAGGCACATGTCAGACTGAACAAGGACCTACCCAGGCTACCAGGAAGTTCAGGGAACCAAAGTTATATCCTTTGTGATGTCCCCACCCCTGGATAGGTGGTGTCAATTGACAGAATCTTTGCATAAGGTTCTTGGAACTTAAAAGGCAACACGGTCAATGGCCTGTTCCATGAAGGACCCCCGAGATCATTGTTACCACCTCTCCAGACATCAAAGCTTTGGGGGTTTAGACACCCACTAAACCCTTTGTACTTATCTTCCTCCTTGCAGGGAAAGACAGAAGTTATCTGCCTTCCCAGTCATAAGGCAAATCCCAGACTCAGCATCTTGTGCATGAGTGCACACACACACACACACACATACACAAATGCACATGAACACACACACACACACACACAGAGTATCCTTTATATAACTGCCACCTCCCTGCCTGGGTTCCAAGCACTTGCCACAGCAGAAGTATGTCTGAATTCAGCCTGCCTCTGGTGTGTGAGGCTTTGTGAGCAGGGGCTCAGGCTCTGGCTCTGTCTGGGAGGCAGGTACAGAGTGGCACAGTCCAAATCCCTGGGGATAAGAACAAAAACAAAAACACCTGGCTCTCACTGGGCACAGGTGGATCACATTTGTAATCCTAGCTATTCAGGAGGCTGAGATCTGAGGATCACAGTTCAAAGCCAGCCCAGGCAGAAAAGTTCCCGAGTGACTTTTATCTCCAATTAACCACTCAACAATCACAAGTGGTACCGAGGCAGAGCGCTAGCCATGAGCAAAAGAGCTTGGGAACAGCAACCAGGCTCCGAGTTCAAGCCACATGACTGACAACAGAGGGGGAAAAAAAAAGAAAAAGAAAGAAACCTTTTTCTCACTGGATACTGGTGGCTCATGCCTGTATCCTAGCTACTCAAGAGATGATATCTGAGGGTTGCAGTTTGAAGCTTAGCCTGTAGGAAAGTCTGTGAGACTCTCATCTCCAATTAAATCACCCAAAAGTTGGAAGTGGGGCTGTAGCTCAAGTGGTAGAACACTAGCCTTGAGTACAAAAGCTCAGGGACCATACCCAGGCCCAGAGTTCAAGCCATACAACCTGCATGCACGCGCGCATGCACACATGCACACACACACACATACACACACACACACTCAACCAAAACACCTGGTTCCTAGCTGACAGTGTGGGGTGGTGATAGAGCCAGATCTTGGTTGAATCACCAACACCCTCCCTCAAAAAAAAAAAAAGAAAGAAAGAAAAATGTGGTTCTTCAACTCCTAGCTCACCTGTCACATAGGTCTTCAGAATCTCTAAGATTGATCACCCTTTAGGTTTGTACATTCTGGTAACCCTAGAAGCCACAGAATGGATGACATTATTCCCAGGCTTCAGAGGCTGGGAAACTGAGGCTCAAGGATACAGTGATTTGCTCACGATCCAACAGCAAAGCTGGAACCCCTTGCTTTCTACCAGGCCCCCTACTAAGGGGGCCTGCCTCAGACACTATCTGTGTACAGGATCTGAGAAGCGGAGAGGCTATATGATTTGTTTGTTTGTTTTGTTTTGTTTTTAGCATTGTGGAGATCCTGGACCTGAGTCACCAGCTTCTGTGGCACTTGTGTAGAGACAGGAAGCTCACTATCATACGGGCAGCCATGGCAGAAGACATTTCTGGGCCTTATGCCACTGACCACACCTTTACCTCCCAAAGCTCCTACCAGAGCTGCCTCTGTTCCTCATGCCGGTGAATCGGGAGCCAAGCTCAGGGCATGCAGGTGGTCTACTTACTGGCCTTGGAGCTGAAGTGGGCACCCATCAGCCTGGGGTCCTTGGGCACAGATCCCTGGGTCTGGAGGAAATTGTCTGGTGAAGGAGTGGTCAGGTTTCTGAAGACTCAGGTCCCCTTTTTATGGGCTGCAGATCATATTACAGGGTTGATGATTAATTTGTGTTGTTGTCAAGCATTACCATATCCAGGGAATTTCCTGATCACTTCTCTTGGCTTGCAGAAGACCTGAGGCAGCTGGCTGGCTCGAGAATAAGGAAGCAGAACGGGGGAAAGAGCCTGAGAGTTTTAAAGTAGTCTTCTTTCTGACTTCTGATTCCTTTCTTAACATGGCTGCGCATTGTAATTGCCCAGGGTGTGTTATTAATGACTTATACTCACACCTGCTCCAGAAAACTCTGGTTCCACTGGCCTGGGGTGGGGCTCAGATATTAGAGGTTTATAAAGGAATCCTGATATCAGGGCATGGTGGCTCATACTTATAATCCCAGCTAGCGGGGGAGGCAGATTTGGGGAGTATTGTGGTTCAAGGCTAGCCAGACCCCTTCCCAATTCAATACGTTTGGGCATAGTACCTATGATCCCAGCTATTTGGGAGGTAGAAGTAGGAGGATGGTAGTCTAATGTTTGGTTGGCCCTGGGGAAAATACTAGACCCTACCTGAAAATAAAGTAAAAAAGGGCTGGAGGTGTGGCTCAAGTGGTAGAAAGCCTGTTTAGTAAGTGTGAAGCCCTGAGTTCAAATTCCAGTACCATAAAGAAGAATAACAGCATTTTGGTGACTTCAGGGTGGCTCCAGAATTCCAAAGGTGAATATTCCTGCTTCAGATCTTAGCATACTGAAGGTGCTAAGTGAAGTGGATTGAACTGAATGAGCTGCAGTTATGTTTGTTCGGGGTCTCTCAGCTGACAAAAGGGAAAAAGGGTGACTGTTCCACCCACAGGCTGGAGCTGGGATTCCATTGTTCAGAATCCATCCCATAAGACAGTAGGTCATATCAGAGGCCTAGGTTTCCAGGTGTTCTCTCTAGAAATAAGATCTCTACCCCCTTTCCAAAGGGAAACTGAGGCTCATTGGGATAAAGGGATTCTAAGATACATTTGAATCTCCTGGGGTCATACTAAAAGCAGATAAACTCAGAAGGTCTGAGATCCTGCTGAGGCCTTGGATACTCACCGAGTTTATTTATTTATTTTTTCACTCATGGCTGGGGCTCTACCACTTGAGCCATTCTGTCTGATATTTTGCTAGCTAATTGGAGATGGAGTCTCTTGGACTTTTTCTGTTTAATTTGGCTTTCAGCCATGATCTTCCAGGTCTCAGCCTTCAAGTATGAGCCACTGACAGTTGGGAAGAGTCTGTTTCTAACTGGGGGCTCTGGGAACCCCACTTTAGATAGCAAAGCTGAAGTTAGTTTGGAGCTTGTGAAGATCCCAGCCCAGGCTAAGATGTTCTGGAGACCCCAAATCAAGGCCACGATCAGTGACTGCTCTGAACTAAGGGATGGGTTTGGTTGCTTTTTTGTTTGTCTGCAGTACTCACATTTGAACTCAGGGCCTTGTTTTCTAGGCAGATGTCATATCCCTGAGCCAAACCTTTAGGTCTGATTTTCACTAGTTTTGGTTTTTTTTTAGAATAAGGTCTTATGAGGGACAAAGGCTGAACAAGTGCAGCAGTTATACTCACTATACATTATATTAATAATGAACTATACAACTTGTGGACAGGGACAGGAGGGAAAAATTGGGAGACAGTGAGGGAAGAAATGTACTCATTACCTGACTTAGGCAACGTAACTCCTCTGTACATCACCTTTATGATAATAATAAAAATTAAAGAAAAAAGACAGTTGGGTGCCAGTGACTCATGCCTATAATCCTAGCTACTCAGAAGGCTGAGATCTGAGGATTGCAGTTCAAAGCCAGACTAGGAAAGAAAATCATAAATTTCTTTTTTTTTTTTTTGGGTCCGGTCGTGGAGCTTGAACTCTGGGCCTGGGCGCTGTCCCTCAGCTCTTCAGCTCAAGGCTAGCGCTCTACCACTCAAGCCACGGCGCCACTTCCGGCTTTTTTCTTTTTGCTTATGTGGTGCTGAGGAATCGAACCCAGGGTCTCCGGCTTGCAAGGCAAGCACTCTACCACTGAGCCACCTTCCCAGCCCCAATCATAAGATTCTTATCTCCAATAAACTACTCAAAAAAAAAAAAAAAAAGCTGGAAGTGGTGCTGTGGTTCAAGTGGTAGAGTGCTAGCCTTGAGCACAAAAAGGCTCAAGAATAGTACCCAGGCCCTAAGTTCAAGCCCCAGGATTTGCTTCTAGCCTGGGCATGGCTGAATATAATTACCTACTTTTAGTTTCCTTTCATCACTAGGATCCCTGGCAAACACCACTGCATCCAGCTTCCTGCTGTGGAGAGGGACTTCCCTGGTAGTCTGGCATGGATCCTTGATCCTCCAGTTCTCAGCCTTCGAAGTAGCTAGGGACTACAGGTGTGAGCCACCAGCACCAAACTTGTTTGTTTGTTTGTTTTTCCTTATGGTGCTAAGGTACTAAATACATGTCATGCAAGTACTCTGCCACCTAGATACATCTGCCACTAAAGACACAAAAGGATAAATAACCCTAGGTCTGGTGCCTGTGGGTAACTGACAATGGTGGTATCCCAGGTTGGGCTGGGAGGTTAACTAGAGTGAAAGAGAATGGGAATTTGTAGACTCCGTTTCTGCTGTTGCGTAGACTGGGCAGTGCTCTTCCACTGCCTGGACTCTAGTGTCCCCAGGTTTACAACAGGGAGCCAGGATGAGCCGGTCCCTTCTTCCACATGGTATGGCTGTGGTCTTGGTGAGAGGGAAGTAGGTGACAACATCCTGGTCCTGTTTCCTCCCAAAACATTGCTGCAACCCTGCACCTTATCTCCCATGCCATGCCTTCCAATAACACTGGGTTTCTGCAACACAGTAGCAGTCTGACAAATGCCAGAGCAAATGATAGAGTCAATGTCAATCATAGGAACCGAAGGCTGATGGTGTGTGTGTGTGCGTGTGTGTATACACGCGTGCATGCATGTGCACGCATACATGCATGCTGATACTGGGGCTTGAACTCAGGGCCTGCATCCTATCTTTTAGCTTTTTTACTCAAGGCTAGTTCTCTATCACTTGAGCCACAGCTCCACTTTTGACTTCTGGCTGGTTATATGGAGATAAATCTCACAGACTTTCCTACCTAGGCTAGCTTCAAACCATGGTCATTAGAGCTCAGTCTCCTCAGTAGCTAGGATTAAAGGTATCAGCCAGTAGAGCCCACTGGCTGATGGTTCTTTAGGGTTCCAACAGGCCAAATGTCCTTATCCCCATTCATGGACCTGGCTGTCCCAGTCTGAGGGCCATGGTATACCCCTCCCCATACGTCCATACCTCCCCCATATACCATGGAAGCCCTACCCGCATTTGGGCAGTGCTGATCCCTCCCCGTTCCTCCCCTGCCTGGCTCTACCTATAGCATTGGCTGCTTTGAGTGGTTCCCAAGAGCTGGAGCCAAAAGTAGCCGTTGATAAACCACATTCCCAAGAAAGAGATATGCATGGCATCTTATCAGGAATCGGGTTTGTGGTTTCAGCCTATCTGGAAAGTTACTGGGCCAGTTGTGGCTGTCAGGTGGCCCAAAGCTAATCTGCAGGGCCCCAGTAGGGGGTGGGCACTGCTGCCTGCTCATGTCAACATCCATCAGACCAGAATGCCAAGCTGATCACAGCACTCTCACCCATGTGAATTTTGTGTGGATTTGGCAGTACTAGGGCTTCAGCACACTAGGGCTTGGGTGCTGTCTCTTTGCTTTGTTTTTTGGCTATAGGTTGGCAATCTATCACTTGAGCCACCAATCCACTTCTGTTTTTTAGGGTGTGTGTGTGTGTGTGTGTGTGTGTGTGTGTGTTTGCTGGTTAATTGGAGATTAGAATCTCATGGACTTTTCCTGCTTGGGTTGGCTTCAAACCAGAATCCTTAGTTCTTAGCCTCTTGATTAGTTAGGACTACAGGTGTGAACATGTAAGTTTATTGCCCATGTGAACTTATTTAAGGAACTGACAGCCACCTATGACACCTAAGCATTTATGAAACAGCAGAACCAGAAAGTCATCTTTCTCCTTCTTTCAACCTTCTTCCCTGAATTCAATCAAAATCTCTACCAACATCCACACCTCTGAAGGCAGGAATGGGGAAGACTAAACAAACAGGCCTGGCTCTGCTCCCCACCTACCACCAGCTATTAGTTCTTATACCTTTATCCAAGCACACTTCTTCGTGTGTGTGTGTGTGTGTGTGTGTGTGTGTGTGCGTGTGTGTGGTAGTTCTGGGGCTCAAACTAAGGACTTGGGTGCTATCCCTGACTTCTTTTGCTCAAGGCTAGTGTTCTACCACTTAAGCCATAGCTCCACTTTCAGCTTTTTTTGGTAGTTTATTGGAGATAAGAGTTGGGCTGGCTTCAAACCATGATCCTCAGCTCTCAACCTCCTGCATAACTAGGATTATAGGAGTTACCCACTGGCACCCGGCCCAAGCACGCTTGATATCACAGTGGGTCTGCTTGTATTTCCCCCTTTCTTTAGATCTTCATTTTGTAAGGCTCTCAGTTTTCATAAAACTTGAGCTGCATACTTTATGACTCACACCTACTCGGGAACCTGAGAGGTAGGATTGTAGCTTGAAGCTAGCCTGAGCAGGAAAGTCTTAAATTCTAATCTCCAGTTAACCACCAAAAAGCCAGAAGTAGAGCTATGGCTCAAATGGTAGACTGCTAACCTTGAATAAAAAAGCTCAGTGACAATGCCAGGCCCTGAGTTTGAGCTCCAGGATTGGCACACATACACACATGAGTGCTCATGGATTGGCACACATACACACACACACACACACACCTTAATCAAATGCAGTTTATTTTCTCTTCTTAAGGTTACCTAAGTAGTGGAAGTCCCAGTCATGAACCTGGTGCTGAGTGAGGAGTTACCATACTTTTCTTCCCTGCAAGACACCTCTGTTGAAAGACCAGTA